AAGGGCAAAGAAAAAAAAAAAAAAAAGGCAAAGGACTTGAATAGACATTTCTCAAAAGAAAATAGACAAATGGTCAATAAGTGCATGCAAAGATGATCAACATCACTAGTCATTAGAGAAATGCAAGTCAAAACCGCAGTGAGATACCACTTCACACCGGTTAGGATGGACATTATAAAATAAACGTTTTTTCAAAGAAAATAACAAGCATTGGTGAGGATATGGAGAAATTTGAACCCTTGTGCACTGTAGGCCAGAATGTAAAATGGTTACAGGTGCTGGAAAACAGTATGGTGGTTTAAGATTAAACTATACAATCCAGCAATTCTACTTCTGGATATATACCCCCAAAAAAGTGAAAGCAGGGACTCAAACAGATATTTATACACTCATGTTCAGAGCAGAATTATTCACAATAGCTAAAACATGGAAGCAACCCAAGTGTTCATTACAGATGAATGGATAAGTAAAATGTGGTGTATACATACAGTGGAATATGACTCAACCTTTAAAAGGAAGGAAATTCTGATGTATGCCACAACATGGATGAAACTTGAGGACATTTCATGCTAAGCATTATTTCACTTAGCATTCTTCCATGCTAAGTGAAGTAAACTAGTCACAAAAGAACAAATATTATTTGATTCTACTTATATGAGGTACTTAGAGTAGTCAAAACCATGTAGACAGAGAGTAGGATGGTGGTTGCCAGGGTTGAGGGGAGAAGAGATGGGAAATTATTGTTGGATGGATACAGAGCTTCAGTTGTGCAACATGAAAAGAGTTCTGTGGATGGATGGTGGTGATGGTAGCACAACAATGTGAATGTACTTGATAGCACCGAACTGTACACCTAAAAATGGTTAAGATGGTAAATTTTATGTTATGTGTACTTTAACACAATTTAAAAAACAAAACAGGGCTTCCCTGGTGGCGCAGTTGTTGAGAGTCCACCTGCCGATACAGGGGACACGGGTTCGTGCCCCGGTCTGGGAAGATCCCACATGCCGCGGAGCGTCTGGGCCCATGAGCCATGGACGCTGAGCCTGCGGGTCCGGAACCTGTGCTCCGCAACGGGAGAGGCCACAACAGTGAGAGGCCCGCGTACCGCAAAAAAAAAAACCATAAGCTTCAGCTTGAGGAGCCTGAAATTACTTCTACTTATTTGTCTAAAGTTGATGAGATTCTCACTTACTGAGTGGCAACAACCACTCATTCATTCAGCAAATATTTATTGAGCATGTGCCATGTGCCAGGTACTCTTCTAGACCTGGGATACAGTAGTGACTAAAACAGATAGAAAGCCCCAATTTTCACAGAGCTTGCATTCTAGACTGGGTGATATTCAAGACTCATTTTGAAACCTTAATGGCAATATATTAATTTACAAAAAGAACCAGAACTGACAGTTGACCAAATGGTCTTTTAACATATGAAAATATGTTCAACCTCACTCAAACTAAGAGAAATACAGGGCTTCCCTGGTGGTGCAGTGGTTAAGAATCCACCTGCCAATGCAGGAGACACAGGTTCGAGCCCTGGTCCAGGAAGGTCCCACATGCCATGGAGCAACTAAGCCCATGTGCCACAACTACTGAGCCTATGCTCTCGAGCCTGCAAATCACAACCACTGAAGCCCGCATGCCTGGAGCCCGTGCTCCGCAACAAGAGAAGCCAACGCAATGAGAGAAGCAACTGCAACAAAGAGTAGCCCCTGCTCTCTACAACTAGAGAAAGCCCGCGTGCAACAACAAAGTCCCAGTGCAGCCAAAAATAAATTAATTAATTTTTTTAAAAAAAGAGAGAAAAGAATCAAAATAAAATAAAATTATTTTTTTAAAAACGGGAAATACAAATTAAAACTACACTTCATTCCCCTATAGATTGACAGAAAGTCCAAACTGTTGACAACACACTCTGTGAAGCTGTAGGGGAACAGGCACTCTCATACACTGCCAGTGTCAGGGCAAAATGGCACATTTTCCATGGATAGCCATTAAGTAATATAACACCATGAGCAATTAAGTCTCAGCAGGTTTCCCAGTGAGTTCAACAGCATATCTCCTGCCATGGGAATTGAATTCAATTTGAACCAGTCACTCTCCTTTAAGAACAAATTCTAAGAAATAAATGCAAATGTATAAAGATATCAATAGGAAGATGCTAGTTGCAGCATTATTTGTAATAGCAAAAACTGCAAAAAAATCTGAATGCTTACCAGTTGAGAAACGGTTGGATAAATAATGGTATACGCATACTACAGAATGTTATGGAATCATTGAAAATAGCTAGGTTTGTCTACATTCCACCACATATTAAATAAAAATTAAGTTGCAGACAAAAATGCATCATCATAATATTAGCTAATACTTAAGTTGTACTGACAATGTGTCAACAGTGTTCTAAGGGCTTTTCAACCTTATGACGTAAGTACTGTTATTATCCCATTTCAAACATGAGGAAGTCCAGGCATAGAGCGATTGTGTAACCTGCCCAAGAATAAACAGCTAGTAAATGACTAGAAGCTGGAATGGAACCCAGCTCTGAGGATTATATGCTAGGGTACCACATTTTACTTACCTATTCATACACTTGGGTTGCTTCCATGTTTTAACTATCATGAATAATGTTGCTATGAGCACAGATGTATAAATATCTGTTTGAGTCCCCGCTTTCACTTTTTGGGGGTATATATCTAGATGTAGAATTGCTGGATCACATAGTAATTCTGTGTTTCATTTTTCAAAGAACCACCATACCGTTTCCCACAGTGCCTGTACCATTTTACATTCCCACCAACAGTGCACAAGGATTCCAATTTCTCCACATCCTCACTAATGCCTCTTACTTTCTGGTTTTTGGTTTGGGGTTTGGTTTGTTTGTTTTGATAACAGTCATCCTAATGAGCATGAGATGATACTTCACTGCAGTCTTGATTTGCACTTACCTAATGATTAGTCATGTTAAGCACCTTTCATGTGCTTGTTGGCCATTTGTATACCTTCTTTCAAGAAATGTCCATTCAAGTCCTTTGCCCATTTTTGTTTCGTTGTTGTTAAGTTTTGAAGCAAAAAATAAAAAATAAAAAAAATAACAACCGGTCGAGAAAGAGTCTCCTTAAGACCCATCCATTAAAATCTTATGCATCCAGCTACCTGTCTACAGAATTACAAGGCCTGGATTTACCACTCACATTTTCAGAGGTGTCAGGAGTCATTTAAAATTTTCTACAATTGGACCTATTTCCCATACCCTCAACACACCCCCACGCAACCCCCTCGTGTGTGTACTCGCACAAATTACTAGTCCTGTTTGTTTACTCACCCATCTTTTGTAGGACAGTGGAACACCTTCTTCTACAATGTACGCTCATTTTAATTGAAAACTTTTACTGAGTTGCCTTCTGCCTTTCCTTCTCCAGGCTAAATTTTCCAAAATTCTGAAGAAACAGTTTTCGCTCAGCACTCTCATTAACTGGTAGAGGGAAGAAATGACAGACTCCTCGGACCCACGAGGAGGGTGCCTGAGTAACGCGGGCCAAGCCACAGCCGCCAGATGGAAACAAACCTCAGCCCTTGGAACTCCGAATCCAGACATGCAACGCGGCCGTGGGTGGTAACGACGCTTGCAGAAACTTTGAGGAATCGATGGTGGAACTCCGACAGTTCTTGTGCTGGAAGAGCACGGTGCCTTGCTGGCAAGTTCCTTGTCCACCTAAGGACACCCAAGCTGCCTCACCTCGCTTCCACCACGTCCCCAAGGTCCCGCACTTCCGTAGGCCTGGCTTACCCGCTGCAGCCCACTGCCTCTTTCCCCATCTGGTGCCGCGCCTCTCAAGACTCGGGCCTTGCGGCTTACATCTTCCAGGCCTACTCAACTTTAGAGTGTTCGTGGTTCCACCTTTATTTCCAATCTGATTAAGGCACAGAGTAGAGCTTCAATAAATCCTGATAGGCTGAATTAGTGAATAAATGAAGACATCATAAAATAATAAATTTTTATCCACACATGGCAGAAAGATTGTGGAGCTATGACATCATATGGATTGGGTTCCAACACCAGTTCTTCCACTTACTAGCTGGGTGAACTTCACCCCACTGAGACTTGAAGAAACGTTTGTTGGGGCTTCCCTGGTGGCACAGTCGTTAAGAATCCGCCTGCCAATGCAGGGGACACAGGTTCGAGCCCTGGCCACACAGGTTCAAGCCCTGGCCCAGGAAGATCCCACATGCCGCGGAACAGCTGGGCCTGTGCGCCACAACTACTGAGTCTGTGCTCTAGGGCCCACCAGCCACAACTACTGAGCTCACGTGCCACAACTACTGGAGCCCGTGTGCCTAGAGCCCGTGCTCTGCAACAAAAGAAGCCCCTGCTCTCCACAACTACAGAAAGCCGGCGCGCAGTAACGAAGACCCACAGCAGCCAAAAATACATAAATAAAATAAATTTAAAAAGAAAAAGAAATGTTTGTTGAACGAATGGATAAAATGTTCTCTCAGAGACGTGTGACGAACTAAGTGCGATAATGCTTGTATCATTCCCCGCCACGATCAGCGCTTAATAGAATTACTACTCTCCCTTCTATTCCACGTTCTGTATTTATGTAGACTGTGAGTGCCCTGAGGGAAGGAATGTCTGACTCGGTTCTGAGCTCCCCAGGGTGCTGGGTCACATTAGGTGATGAGAATGAAGACGGAGGACCACAATTTTTAACATGCTCGGGGCGAAGAAGATTACACATCCAGAAAGGATCTGGCCGCTTCGCAGAGACCACGTGTCTCATTATCCCCCAAGAATCTCAGCTTGCTCACGAACAAATGACAGCCGATAATACTTGCAGATGGAGTCTGCAGTCCACAGGACCCCAACCCCGGGCGCCTCAACATGCGGCCACGAGCGCCGCAGGGCCCCAGGCCGTGCTCCTTCCTGCTCAGCCTTCAGGCAGGTCTAGGGGAGACGCATGCGCATTCCTTTCTCCTCAGCTCCTCCCGGCCTCCCTTCGCTAGTGCTTCGCATTTCGAGTGCTGGATCTTTTTGTCCCCTACTGCGTGCCGTGTCAGTTTCCGAGCGGAAGTGGTGACTGTGAGAGAAGAAGATGGCGGCCTCTGTGGTGGCGCCGCCTGGTGTGGTGGCCGGTCGGCCCAACAAGCGCAGCGGCAGCGGGCCGGCAGGCGGTGGCAGCGGCGGCGGCGGCGGTGGAGCAGCCAGAGGGGCGGAGGAGGAACAGCCGCCGCCCCTACAAGCAGTTCTGGTGGCCGACAGCTTCAACCGCCGCTTCTTCCCCATCTCCAAGGACCAGCCTCGGGTGAGCGCCGCGCGCGAAAGCTGCCAGAGGGTCCGGAGGTGGCGGAGCTAGACCAAGTTATCTTTTTGGCTGCCTAGTGAGGCGCGCTCTGGAAGGACTTGTGTCCACGGTCTTTCCCAGAAATCGGGTTTATCTGGTTAGGAAAAAGGCGGAGAGACCGTCTAAAGCCCTGACGACTGGCTGACCAAGTGAATGGCAGGCAGATTTGGGCACTCGTAATGCTGTCCACCTCAGGTCTGGGAGGCCTGCAGGGGCTAATGAAGAAGCAGTGCTTGTGAGAAGCCTTCACACGGGGATTCAGTGCCTCAAGAGGAGGCTGCGCCGCACTTATGTAGAGGAAAGAAAAATCCTTAGGTGAAAGGGACTGTCACCTCCTTTTGCCTCCAAAAGGGAAGTCATGTGCCTGAAAAAAGAGCAGGCTGGTCTGATTCCATAGTAACAGCTGTTTTGGATCTCTTGTAGTGTGCTTTTTTTCTTTTCAGGTTTTAGTGACAGCTAGTGCTATCTGTCAAAAGGAGAACAGAACAGGTTCAGTGGCTGGTTGCCCGCGTCCCCAGTATTGTCCAGACACTGGGGAACTGGACTGAGCTAGTCCTAGGGATTGCTGGGTCATTCAGCAGTCCCCAGTTCAAAGAAAAGGACTTGCATTCAGTTCAGGAAAAATCTCTTTGACTCATCACTCCCTCTAAATAGTCTAATGGCTGTTTATTTTGTACAGTTGATTGGGATGGCTAGCCCCTGACTCTTAGAAAGGGATCAAGGAAGGAAATTTTATGGGAAAAAAAGCATGAGTGGTACTTAAGCTTCTGGAGATGTAATTGATTTCTATATTATCCTTTGTCAGGGATAGTTTGCTGTTCTATACCAGCTCTGTGTCTGATGCTAAGCAAGTAGATTCCATGCCTACTATATCCCAATTGCAACCCATTAGACTCTGATGTTTAGAGTATGCCATGAACATTAAAGGCAGCAGCCTGATTAGTTTTAAATAGGAAAGATAAAGTAAAAACTAGTGTTTGAAAATACTGATAGAGGAGTGAAAATTGTGGTTGGAATGGGGAAAAGAATGATGCTCAGAGGACCCTCATGACTTTTTTTCATCTCCTACCCTCAGGTCCTCTTGCCCCTGGCCAATGTGGCGCTAATTGACTACACTCTGGAATTTCTGACTGCCACAGGTGTACAGGAAACCTTTGTCTTTTGTTGCTGGAAGGCTGCCCAAATCAAGGAACATTTATTGTAAGGCTCTGCAACTTTTCTTTCCATGTTTCACCATTTTTTCCCAGTTTTCTTAGGATGGATATAACTAAATAAGAGGAGATTATGAGGGAGAAAAATGTATTTGTTTGGATCCCATCATAAGGTCTAAGGGCATTCTCTTCACTTAGGAGGTGAGCAGCTGAAGCCATGACAAAGATTAAAGAATAGCATTTGGATTTTTTCTGAATCTCACAAAGTTTGTACCCAATGGGTTTTGCTTTTTATTTAGTGGCTCCAATATGCAAGTTACAAGAGTAATATCTTTGTTTTTCCACTGAGCTTCTAAATATTGAGCTCTTCCTCATTTTTGTATTCCTGGTGCCTAGCTTAGTACCACGCACATAGTAAACACTTAACAAATGTTTAGCGAAGTGTTTTTGAAAAAGAGTGAATCTCAGGATTTATGGAAGCTTAGGAAATAAAGACTAGGATGTTAGCATGGTCTCCATCAAACAGCTCCTAAATTTGGTATGAGGTTTAGAAGGAGAAAAGTGGCATGAAATGTGTGTTCCCAGGATACTTTGTATAACCTAAGTCTCAGCGGGATTTTTAGTTCAAATCCGTGTTTAGGGACAGGGGTCAGGGTATGGAGAGGAAATAGCCATGTTTCTCTAACCCATAAAACAAGACTAGTGACAGACTATGCTGAAACCATTAATTATAGTTCATAAACCTCTTTGAAGTCAAGGATGCTGACAGGAACCCAGAAAAAGCCATAGCAAAGGAGTGTGAATGTTGAGTGGGGAGAAAAAATAGGGAAGCTCTGCATGATGTTTATGCTTGGTTTACTCATCCCCCTCACCTCCCTTCCTTTAGGAAATCCAAGTGGTGCCGCCCTACATCCCTCAACGTGGTTCGAATAATTACATCAGAGCTATATAGATCACTGGGGGATATTCTCCGTGATGTTGATGCTAAGGCCTTGGTGCGCTCTGACTTCCTTCTGGTGTATGGGGATGTCATCTCAAACATCAATATTACCAGAGCCCTGGAAGAACACAGGTCAGGATGGGAAAATGGTAGAGATGAGGTTTGGGACCAGCAGAGCCCTAAGACTGCTTTTTTGCAACTCTCTCCCTCCTATCCTTTACAGGTTAAGGCGGAAGCTGGAAAAAAATGTGTCTGTGATGACAATGATCTTCAAGGAGTCATCCCCCAGCCACCCAACTCGTTGCCATGAGGACAATGTGGTAGTGGCTGTGGATAGTGCCACAAACCGGGTGCTCCATTTCCAGAAGACCGAAGGCCTCCGACGTTTTTCTTTTCCTCTGGTGTGTGGGTATCTGGGGTCCTTGAGGTGGGAAAGTGACAGGCTTCAGCAGAAGAGATGAGTTAAAGTCCTTGTAGGGACTTCCCTGGTGGCACAGTGGTTAAGAATCCACCTGCCAATGCAGGGGACGCGGGTTTGAGCCCTGGTCCAAGAAGATCCCACATGTCGTGGAGCAACTAGACCCGTGCACCACAACTACTGAGCCTGCACTCTAGAGCCCATGAGCCACAACTACTGAGTCTGCGCTCTAGAGCCTGTGAGCCACAACTACTGAGCCCACGCGCTGCAACTACTGAAGCCTGCACGCCTAGAGCCCGTGCTCCACAACAAGAGAAGCCACCACAATGAGAAGCCCGCGCACTGCAACAAAGAGTAGCCCCTGCTCGCCACAAGAGAAAGCCCGCACGCAGCAATGAAGACCCAACTCAGCCAAAAAGAAAATAAATAAATTTATTAAAAAATAATAATAATAAGTCCTTGTAACTTCTCCCCACAGAGCTTGTTCCAGGGCAGTGGAGATGGAGTGGAGATTCGCTATGATTTACTTGATTGTCATATCAGCATCTGCTCTCCTCAGGTGAGCTCCTCAGGGCCAAGCCTGCACATCTAAAGAGTAGAACTCTGAGGGTTTATTATCACCCCCTTAGAAGGCCAGGGTATATTTCTTCTCCTTCATTCTCTTATCTACAGCAAATAGGTGCTATCATCTTGACCCCAGTATCTTATTGGCAGACTTTTTTGGGATTCTGGCCCATATCCTGCTGTCATAGTGTCTGATAGGTCTCTGGGGGGCTTGTGTTTGCTTCCAGAGAATAATGCTTAACCTTGGCCCCCTCTGACTTCCCCACACAGGTGGCTCAACTCTTTACAGACAACTTCGACTACCAAACTCGAGATGACTTTGTGCGAGGCCTGTTAGTAAATGAGGAGGTAAGAAAAGCTCCCAATGCCTCGTTAGAAGAAGGCTGTGATTTTATCTCAATGCTGATAAATTTGGTCCCCCTTTTTTTCTCTCTCCATTTGCTTTTTTATTCTGCCCATTTTTAGGGCACAGTAGACCCTACTGACACACAAAAGCAAAAGATTCATTTGTGATTTTTGGCAGATCCCCAATACCATCTGACCACCAGTGACATGCTAAAAACATCTCAAGATCAACAGATAAATTGCTAAAAACATGAACATCCACCATTACCCATAATGTGAAAGTTTCTTTTCCCTTGGGAAGGGTTGGGGGAGTTTTGGTCCCCTTTTATGTTTTATTAAACCTTAGGAGAAAGGAAAAGAGCTGGAGAGGAGAGGGAAGCAGTATACAGAGAAAAGTCTCAGGCCACTTGGCTGTGACATTGAGAGGCAGTAGGAAACTTAAGAAAGTTAGAATAGAATTATACCTGGGATGTTCTTTCTCTCTTGCTTGCTTGAGGGACCTCTCTCTTTTTCTCCTCATTCAGATCTTAGGAAACCAGATCCACATGCATGTGACAACTAAGGAATATGGTGCCCGGGTCTCCAACCTACACATGTATGCTGCTATCTGCGCTGATGTCATCCGCCGATGGGTCTACCCTCTCACCCCAGAGGCGAACTTCACTGACAGCACAACCCAAAGCTGCACTCACTCCCGACACAACATCTACCGAGGGCCTGAGGTCAGCCTGGGTCATGGCAGCATACTGGAGGAAAATGTGCTCCTGGGCTCTGGCACTGTCATTGGCAGCAATTGCTCCATCACCAACAGTGTCATTGGCCCCGGCTGTCACATTGGTGAGTACAGGTGGGGAGGTCAAGCTGGCCATCCTAGGAGCAGGAACCTGGGGGAACCCCATGTCTCTAGAAAAGGATACAGAGGGATAGTCCCAGAGAATAAGGAACTAGAGTGGCTGCCTTAATAAAGGAAGAAATAGGGATGTAAAAACAGTGATACTTTAATTTGTGGCCTGTGAGCCTGTTACTGGGTGACTCTTCACATTTCAGGGTACCCTATATTCACATTCAGGACCAACTGGATAATTAACATGCAATAATAACATCTCTTTAGTGCATTGCAGTTTACAAAGGGCTTCTGCATACATTATTAAAAACCTTGTGAGGTAGGTATTATTTATAGATAAGTTTATAGATAAACAAAAAAGCTGTAAGGTTGTCTCACCCAAGGTCATAGCTAATAAGAGGCAGTGCTGGGACTTGAATCTGAGTGTTCTGATTTTAAATCCAGTGTCCTTTCTACTCTTAGTAACTTGCTTTGGTTATAAGAAAGTGATGCTTGTAATGGAACCACCCCTTTAAAAGAACAACAATAAGATTCTAATTCTAAAATGTACAAGAAGAGGTGGAATAATTTGGTTCTACTTTTAGGCATGGATTTAATTCTAATAAGGTTCTTGAGCTCAAGGAGTCTCCAGAAATCTTAAGGGTTCTCAGGTTCTTAAGTCCAGTATATAGTCTGTAATTGTTGTAAACCTGGTGGAGTGTAGTCAGGCGTCTCTGGCCCAAGTTTAGGGAGAGGGTATTGCTGGTGAATTGGGGAGGGAGTAGTAGAGCTTGGTGGGAGCTGTGCTGATGTCAGTCAGCCCCATTCTCCACAAACGGCCCTGGTCTGGAATTGGGGCCCTGGGTGACCAGGAATCCTTCCTGTCCTGAGCCAGGTGATAATGTGGTGCTGGACGAGGCCTTCCTATGGCAGGGCGTCCGAGTGGCTGCTGGAGCACAGATCCGTCAGTCTGTGCTCTGTGACAATGCTGAGGTCAAGGAAAAAGTTATCCTGAAGCCACGCTGTGTCCTCACTTCCCAGGTAAGACCTGTTCCACACTGCACATAGGCCCCAAGTTGAGTGGTGGTTATGCTGAGCCAGAAAGGGGCCTTATGTCCACCCAGTCCACCCTGAATTGAGAGTCCCAATCCAGTGGTTTCATTTACCTTCTATTTGGCTTGGTAAATAAAAGTCACTCTGATTTTCAGGATGTACTTTTCCCCAACACACTAATCAGTCTGTGGCACCCACTCCTTTTTTCTCCTCCAGGTGGTGGTAGGCCCAGATATCACGCTGCCTGAGGGCTCGGTGATCTCTTTGCACCCTCCCGATGCAGAAGATGATGAGGATGATGGTCAGTTCAGTGATGATTCTGGGGCTGACCAAGAAAAGGAGAAAGTGAAGCTGAAAGGTGTGAGGCTCAGCAGGTGTGGGGCATCTATCTGTGTGTCTCTCTGCCCCATAGAAAAACCAAGGTTCCCCCTAAGGGGTTGGTGCTTCTACTGGGCCTTTGCTAAAGATCCGTGCCTTTTCCAGGTTACAATCCAGCAGAAGTCGGAGTTGCAGGCCAGGGCTACCTCTGGAAAACAGCAGACATGAACATGGAGGAAGAGGAGGAACTACGGCAGAATCTGTGGGGTGAGCTAAGCCTTATTCCTGCCACCCACCCTCTAAATCAGATTATTTTGAGGGAAATTGAACACTTCAGAATCAGACTACTTGTTCATTACTTTATTTATGCAGACTGAGCAGATATATTGCTCTCTGTCAATGGCTCTTTCAGTATTTTTCTCTTTTCTCACCCTTTATGGATTCTCAGGACTCAAAATCAACATGGAAGAAGAGAGCGAAACTGAAAGTGAGCGAAGTATGGATTCTGAAGAGCTAGATAGCCGGGCAGGCTCCCCACAGATGGATGACATCAAAGGTAAGTGGCCAGGGGAGCAGTGTCTGGGACAAAAGAGGAAAGCCTCCAGTTTGGTTGGGCATAAAGTCAGAACTGGATGACTTAAAGCATCCTGGAGTGATATTGGCCCATGAACTTACTCTTGCTTTGATTTTAGTGTTCCAGAATGAAGTCCTGGGAACTCTACAGCGGGGCAAGGAGGAGAACATTTCTTGTGACAATCTAGTCCTAGAGATCAACTCTCTCAAGTAAGAGCAGCTCCTCCTTATTCTCATCTCCTCGGGGTAATCCCAGGCAGGTGTAGGTTCTCTCCTACTTCTTCTCCAAATAGGAACCTGTTCCCTCGACATCCCAACTGGACAAGGCCGGTAGCATTTGGAGCAAGGAGAACATTATGTTTTTGCCTCAGCATAGACTTCCTCCTTCCAAAACCCTCTCTTTCCATGTTGTTCCATCTGACTTTCTCTCCCCCAGTGTCCTGCCAAAGTCATAGTCCTACAGTATGCTGAAAGGGCCAGTGAAGGCCCTGGTGTCACCCCAGTCTCCCCACAGGTACGCCTACAACATAAGCCTGAAGGAGGTGATGCAGGTGCTAAGCCATGTGGTCCTGGAGTTCCCCCTGCAACACATGGATTCCCCACTTGACCCAAACCGCTACTGTGCCCTGCTGATTCCCGTAAGCAAAGATTGGGGCTGGGTACAAGGGGTTGGGTGGAGACAGGTACACATCCTTACTGGGCTTGACTTTAAAGGAAATCAGGAGTAGAAGGTCTTGTGAGATATATGTTACTTGTGGTTCCTTTCTCCTTGCCTCTGGACACAGATTAGGTTCTAGAGCAGGTTTGGCTGGTCCAGGGGAGTCAAGTTAGGTTCAATACTGAGTGGCCTTTGAGATTCCAGTATTCAGACAGTACTAGACCCCAAAGGTATACCCAGAATAGACCTGGACTGTCATATTGTCTGACTGAAAATGATTTGACCAGAATGAGGTGAACCTTTAGGCTGGAAACAGGTATTCTGAGGAAGCCTGCAGCATCTGACCCCCTTCACCTTCCCTAGGAAATTTCTTTTTCCCCAGTCCTGACTGCCAGCACTCCCAAGTCCCTCTGACATAATTCCACAGGACCTGTATCATCTCCCTCTTGTCTTTTTTTTTTTTTTTTTTTTAATTTTTAAATTTTTGACCTTGCCATGTGACTTGCAGGATCTCAGTTCCCCAGCCAGGGATTGAACCTGGGCCATGGCAGTGAAAGTGCCGAAATCTAACCACTAGACTACCAGGGAACTCCCCATCTTGTCTTGAAAGACCCATGTTATCAATATTGATTTTCTTTGCTGTCCAGGTGTAGGTGCATGCTCAGGAATATATTGCAACTTCTCCTTTCTTCCACAGTTGCTCAAGACCTGGAGCCCTGTTTTTAGGAACTACATAAAGCGTGCAGCTGATCATTTGGAAGCATTGGCAGCCATTGAGGACTTCTTCCTGGAGCATGAAGCCCTTAGTACTTCCATGGCCAAGGTGAATACCACGTCAAGCCCCAAAGTCCTGCACTTACTTTGAAACAGGCCTTGGTGACCTCCGTGGAGACACAAAATAGACTGACATGAATCCGTATGGAGTTTGGTTAACAGCTTCATCCACCCCTAGTGTTGTGCTTATTGCTGGGATAGTACAGCTTGGAGCCAAACTAGTAAGGCAACCATTTGGAGGTTACCCTGGGAATGTGCAAAGCACTACCCAGCAATAGTTCCAGAAGTCAAACCTGTCCCAGTATCAGAGTGAAGAGCTCATTCTTACCTGTTTTGGAGGAGGCTGCTCCGTGTGTAGAAGAAGGCTGAGGGCCTGGTAGAGAGGCACTAGATCTTGCCTCCTCTTCCTCTGTTATCCATTATGTCTCGCTGAACCCTGCAAGGCCCCTGAGATCTCATCTCCTCTGCTGGCCTTCTGCAGGTACTGATGGCTTTCTACCAGCTGGAGATCCTGGCTGAGGAAACAATCCTGAGCTGGTTCAGCCAAAGGGATACAACTGACAAGGGTCGGCAGTTGCGCAAGAACCAGCAGGTAAGTCAGGCTGCCTTCCTGTCACTGCAGTGGTTGCCTGGCTCCCTGGCTCCTGACCTTAGACTCCAGGTGGTTGGTCCCTGGGACTCTGGTTGTTAGAGCTGTTTATCTGCTAAGGAGAAAAGGAGGGTTATGTGCCCCTCCCTCAGTAGCTCTCCGCTCTGCTTCCTTACAGCTGCAGAGGTTCATCCAGTGGCTAAAAGAGGCAGAAGAGGAGTCATCTGAAGATGACTGAAGTCGCACTACCTGCTCCTGTGGGTGTGGTTGATTGCCCTCCTGGTTTCTGGGCCAGGGCAAGTGAGAGGCTAGTTGCAGAAGGATGAGTGACCACCATCTGAGCTGAGACTTAAAGGAGCAGAGGCTGGAGCTACAGTATTCTTCCCACCGCCAGCAGCCATGTGCCTCCCATCCTGACTGGGGAGTTGAGATAAGGGAAGTTGGGCTGGATAACAACTCTGCCTAAGGAGGAGCTAGGCAGGCCCTGCAGTTAGAGGAAGGCCAGAGAAACAGCTTTGTGCTCTAGTTTCCCCTCAGGGAACAGCAGAGAGCAGTTGGCCCTCTCTGTTGCTTGTATTTGTTAATATTAAAAAACAGAGAGAGGGGTATATTTGGTTTCTCTGCAACTCTGACTGATCAGCAGTTGAAGTAGGTCAACAAGAGTTCTCAACCTCTGATGTGGTAGCCTTTCTTAACACCTGGTGGAGAGGGAGAAGAGGGGTGTTATGGCCACTAGGTGGGACTGTGGTGCCTCGCTAGTTGACCATTGCCATGGCCACGGTGGTAGAGGGCCTAGATTCTTTTCCAGACTTTGTGGGCCAATTTGTGGTCCTGGAGTGGTGTGCCTGAACCTAGTTCTGTAGAGAGTCCTAGTCCAAACACTTTTCTGTCAGAAGGTGATGATGCCAACCATATGTAAAGTCCATTAACCACTGCCAGTCTGTCACATGCTCTGTCCATTTGATCCAGTACTACTGTCAAGAGAAGCTGGGCTACTTTTCATCTTATAGATAAGGGAATTTGCTCAAGGTCTCATGACTCTTGAGGGGTAAAGCTAAGGACTTGAGCCTCATAATCCAGAATTCTTTTTCCTTTAGCATATTCAGTGTCTCAGTGAAGGGAAATTGCCCCCAGAGGCAAATACAACCACAAGCCAGCAATGGATATCCTAAGAACAGAGGAAGAACCTGTGAAATGGGCTGTCCCCTAATATTGAGAGAGTATCTACTGCATGACAGACATTTGTTTTTTATATACATTTATTTATTTATTTTTGGCTGCATCGGGTCTTAGTTGCGGCATGCAGGATCTTTCATTGCGGCGTGCGGGCTTCTCTCTAGTTGTGGCGTGCGGGTTTCTTCTCTTTCTAGTTGTGGTGCGGGCTCCAGAGCACGTGGGCTCTATACTTGAGGAACATGGGCTCAGTAGTTGTGGCACACAGGCTTAGTTGCCCCGAGGCATGTGGGATCTTAGTTCCCTGACCAGGGATCAAACCTGCATCCCCTGCATCGGAAGGCAGATTCTTTACCACTGGACCACCAGGGAAAGTCCCCAGTCATTTTGCTAAATACTTTTCATGTGTTATTTTAGTTAACCTTCACATCAGCCCTATGAAGTAGGTCTTATCCCCATTTTCAGATGAAGAGGCTGAAGTTCATAGAGGTCCTGTAACTGGTAATTGATAGAGCAAGGATTTGTTATTGGACTCTAGAGCTGGAATTTGTCACCTATATTGTCTCCTTTAACCTCAAACATGAGACAGGCCCTTCTATCTCACCTTTTTGAGCTCTTTGTTGCTTTCCTATCAACCTTACTCTGTTAACGCTTAAACTGTAGCAGATGTCTTTGGTAACAAGTGGCCCTCCTGGACATCACAGGTAAAATGGTTGCCTTTTCTTCATTTCAGTTGGGTGGAGAGGAGTAAGATGAGGAAGGGGATACTGAACTGTACTAAGGGGTATTAAGGGGCATTACTCAGTATTTCTAAAGAGGAAAAAACAGGCTGGCCAGGGTTTGACTTAATTTACTTTTCTTATTCAGTGAATTTCAGTTTCTCCTTTGTCAAATACAGGACCTAGTGACTAGAGAGCATTTGAAGGTTATGGCATGGACCTAATAGGGGCAGTTAAATACAAGCAACTGTAGGGTACCTCTGATTTATACCTGATGGGTAGCAGAGATCAGAAGTGGCCTATAGAACTTTTTAGGAGGAAAATATTCCTTCTAGTTGCAGTGATTAGGGAAGGCTTACAGGATTGTGACACTTGAGTGGCCTAAAAAATAGAAAGGGTAGAGGGAACATTATGAGCAAAGCAAAGGGTTTCCATTTAAATATGGCAGATTAAACACATGGGCTTTGGGGACTTCTCTGGCGGTCCAGTGGTTAAGACACCGTGCTTCCACTGCAGGGGGCACGAGTTTGATCCCTGGTCCTGGTCGGGGAACTAAGATCCCTTGTGCTGTGGAGCGGCCAAAAAAAAAGAGAAAAAACTCATGAGCTTTTTACTCCAAAACCACTTTCAAATGGTAGCAAAGGAATTCTTCAAAAAAGGCACGTGACTCGATGATAAGGAAAACAGAAGGTGACAACAATGAATGAGAGACATCAACATTTTGGGGAAAAAAATAAATGGAAGGGTGAAAGTTGACCTAGCAGAGCAGAATGAGATGGGCTCTACCTGCTGAGGTGGTTATTAACAAGAAGCAAACCAGTGTGCCCTTCTGAACCCAGAAAAGGCTCAGTAGAGGGGTTAAGGATTGGGTCCTGAGAACTGGGGGTGGAATGGAGGAGAATCAGACAAAGATCTGTATGAGAAAAAGCTCCCCCAGGTCCCCACTTTATCTGATCCAACCAAGTGATTACCCCTACTTCTCCTCTGCAGGAAATGGGAGATTTAGTCTGGAGAAATGGTGGGGAGGAATTTCCAGAGAAATATCTATGAAGGTTTCCTAAACCCAAAGGTCATGAGTTTCTACACTGACAAGAGCCCATGAGTGCCCAGCATAATGAACAAAGTAACACCACGAAATTTCAGAACCTCAGGGAAAATAAATCTTTAGCACCTCTGGATTCAATAGGAGACGTGGTGGGGATGGGATTGAGGGGCTAGATTGAAAATGAGGGATTAAATGAAAGTATATGAGTGGTAGGGCTCTGAATGTCAGCACACACTGGCTTATACCCCCAGGCCAAAACTAACTAAACAATTGCAGACCAAAGGCCTACAAATACTTAGAATTTTGTTTCAAAAAAAAAAAAAAAAGCCATCTTCCTCTGCTTGCCGTATCCTGAACACTGAAGCCTGTTAGCCTGCGTACATGGACAGAACTTCCAAACAGATTTTTAGTATCTCACTCTTACATATGAATAGACTGTTAAAGGCCACCAAACATTTGAAGAAACTTCCAACGTATGAAAGGCGGAGACCAAAACAAACAGAAAATTGAAACCCAGGAAACTGACAAAGTAGGGAGCTTTTCGAAAATTTTAGGGGGGGAAATGGCTATAATTCTCAAAACTCAGGGAAAATATTGTGTCTATGAATAAAGTGCTATGAAAAGAATTGGAGAACAAAAGAGCTTTTAGAAATTAAAAAACTATATGAATTTTCTTTTCCTACTGAGAACTGGAGGACTACAGAACCAAATAGGGAAATTATATGTCCATCCTTATATACTTATTGAATTTTTAATTGTGAATATTTTACCTATACAGTTGGATAGGGGAAAGTTTGGAAGTAATGTTAAAACCTTACAAAAAGGTGAAATCATTTGAAAATAAAATGAAATGGATGATGAAGGAGAAAAAGATAAAAGGATCAATCCAGAAGGTACAACATCTAACAGGAGTTGCAGAAAGAAAGGAAAAATGGTAGTGATGTTATTAAATAATTCAAGAAAATATTGTTGAATTTCTAGATGGGTAGGGCTCGCCCAATGCCTAGCACAGTGAGTGAGCACCAAGGCACATCACCAAGAAATTTGAGAACCTCAGGGATAAATAGAACTTCCTAAAGACTTACAAAGAGTTAAAAACAAGAGCCTAGGAAAGAGATCAAACTGATCACTAAATAGCAACACTGGAAGCTAGAAGACAATGGAGTGATGCTTTCAGAATTCTGAAGGAAAATTACTTTCAACTCAGAATCATACTTTCATCTTTTCAGGTTTCTCCCCAAATTTAAAAATTTTTTTCAAAACAAAACTTTTTATTGAAGTATAGTGGATTTACAATGCTGTGTTAGTTTCAGGTGTACAGCAAAGTGATTCAGTTTTATATCAATATATACTGTTTTCAGATTCTTTTCCATTATAGTTCCCCCCCGCCACAAGTTTTTATTTCCCATGCTTTCAAGGGGAACTACCAAAGGATGTGCTTTACTAAACAAAGGAGTAAAGTATCCAAGAAACTGGGATCCAACACAGATGAGAGGTAAAGGGAGTTCTGAGAATGATGCAGAGAAGTCCCAGGATGACAGCTGTTCACAGGCTGAGACAGTCAGCAGTGCAGACCAGAGCAATGGAATGGAAGCCCCCAGGAAAGAAAACGGATTATCTAATACATTGGGCTGAATGAATAAAATATGAATTGAGAACCTATTAGAGTATGTGGAAAGATTTAATGATAGGTACACTATAGAAAAAAAAATGAAAAAGCAAGGCAATGATTAATGCTGGGACTTTCTGGTGGCGCAGTTTTTAAGAATCCACCTGCCAGTGCGGGGACACGGGTTTGAGCCCTGGTCCAGGAAGATCCCACGTGCCGCAGAGCAACTAAGCGTGTGCGCCGCAACTACTGAGCCTGCGCTCTAGAGCCCACGAGTCACAGCTACTGAAGCCCACGTGCCTAGAGCCCGTGCTCTGCAACAAGAGACGCCACCGCAGTGAGAAGCCCACACACTGTAACGAAGAGTAGCCCCAACTCGCAGCAACTAGGGAAAGCCCGCGCGCAGCAACGAAGACCCAATGGAGCCAAAAATTAATTTTTTAAAAAAATGATTATGCCAGGAGGAAAAGTTGTAAAGGAAGCATTTATTCATAGTCAAAATGTCAATACTATATTATAAGTAATATAAGTACTGTATTATCTTAACCAAAAAATGTGATCTTATCATTTTAAGAGGTTAGGGAGAGGTGGAAGAAAGGTAAATCCATCAATCAAAATTGGAAATCAATAAGTAATGTCTAGAATGCATATATCAAGAAATAATATGAGCAAAAAAAAGGTACAGGGGGGGGGGGGGGGGGAGGGAAATGAGACAGGACTGCTGTAAGTTTTCTTAATATTTGTCTATGCACACATATTACTTTGATGAAATTTTAAAGTAGAGGGAAAGGTATGAAATAAAAATATACAAGGTGTGTGCAGGTGCTGGCAAGTAGGTTGAATTGCTTAAGTCAAAACTTTAGTCAGGATATAATGAAAAAAAGGCTGTAAAGGTAGGTAGAGGTTAGATTATGGAGAGCTTTGAATATCATGCTAAGGATATTTGGAAGGCATTGCGAAATATGGAGAGGTTTCTGAGTTGAAGAGGTGTCTGAAAGAGGTCCTTCATCTTGAAATGCTAATTTGGCAACAGTATACAAAATGGAGTGGGAGAAGCCCATATTTGTTACTGTGGCCTAAAAGGACCTATGTGGTCTGGTCCCAGTCTACCTTTACAGCCTCATCTACCACTATCATTGTAGTCACAATGGCCTTCTTTTTGTTCCTCAAATTTGGCAAGTTTATTCTTGCCTTGGGCCTTTATACCTCACTGTTCCCTCTGCCTAGAATGCTCTTCCCCCAGACCAGACCTTCTTATAGCTGCTTCCTCATTAGTTCTAGGTCTTAACTCAAATGGAAGAGGCCTTTTCTGACCACCCATATTACTCTTTCCCCTGTTATAGTTCTGGCTTGAGACTTCATGTCCCAGTCTCACACGCATCTTCATTCCTGTACTCATTCTGCATTCAACCCATTTATTAAACCACTGCTTTACACCTAGGTACTGAAGTTATAAGAAGGAATCAATTCGATCTTGTTCTGACCTTAAGGAGTTGTTTGGTAGACTCAGTGATAGCAGCTGTGCTTCTCAACAGACCCTAAAAGGCCATGTCGAGGTCCCTTTTCTCCAGCGATACATGGTCAAAACCGCGCCCCCTGTCCCTTCTCAGAAAGCAAAGCGACCCCTACATTACATCCCTCCCCAGCTGCAGAGAAGCAGCCGATCCCCCTTGGGTCCAGAGCCAGGGCCTTGAAGAGTCCGGGAACGTGGGCTGGAGAGATCT